ACAATTGGTTTCACTAAGCATTAAAGAAAAGGAAGATTTTATTTTAGGTGATTTAAACATGAATTTATTAAACTACAACACCGACAACCAAATATCAGAGTATCTCAACTGCTGATGGTAAGGTATTGTATAGAGAGGGAGCCTGACAAGAAATAACAAGACGTGGGTTTTCTAAGTCTTGTAATTGGAACGAGCACAAATTAAATCTTTTAAAGATGATCAGTTTTACTTATTGGATGAAGTAGAAAAGAAAGATTCGCGTTGTGGATTTAAGGTCTCTCTTTTGCAGACAAATCAGAGTCGAAGACACTGTCAGGATGGGTGTTTGGCGGGGGCGGGACATCTGTCAATTGATAAGGCAAGGTGTCCTAAGGTGAAATGAATGAGAACAGAAATCTTATGTAGAAGAAAAGGGTAAATGCTCACTTGACTTTGATTTTCGGTATGAATACAAACTGTGAATGCATGGCCTATCAATCCTTTAGTCTTTAAGAGTTTGTAGCAGCTATTAACGTTCATAGCGACGTTGCTTTTTGATCCTACAAAGTCGGCTCTTACTATCAAGTCGCCAAGTGTTGGATTGTTCACCCAATAATAGGACACGTGAGCTGGGTTTAGACCGTCGTGAGGCAGGCTAGTTTTACCCTACTTATGAAGTGTTGCTGCAATAGTAATTCTGTTCAGTACGGGTGGAACCGCAGATTCAGCCAATTGGCATTTGCATTTGAATTTCACTGAACGCATCTAAGTCAAATTCCGTTATAGAACGCAACGATCTACCCCCAGAAAATTTAAGGCAAACAATACCCGCCAAGATAATAAAGGATATCAAAGTTTTAAAATTCTGGAGCTAAATCCTTTGCAAACCAAAGTTGTAGGAGTAGCCTTTTTGTTACGATCTTCTGAGATTAAATTTTGTTTTTCACCCAACACAACGTACTCCTCCCAATCTCGTACCCAGAGCCCTTATTTCTTACTGCGCATGCTCGACGAAATAATTGGGCTCTGGAAAACTCCAAACCGGAAGACCCAGATTCTAGGTTTCTCGCACATGCGCATTATGACAGACTAGGTAAATTCAAAATGGCGGACGATGTTCAACGAGCATGTGAATTTGCGATTGGAAAATTAGGTTTTGAAGATGGTTTTCAGTTAAATTAACTCCTAAAATATCTATTGGATGGACATCAATACAATTTCCATTACAAAACCGGCAAAACTTTGAAAAATCCGGCCCTACAGGCTTTTTTGGTGTACTTAATTCGAGACCCCATCTTGTTCATTTTCCCTAGTACAGTAATTTTTACTTCCGGTATCTTTCTTTGTTCTCGAGAACCAATCACAGCACAGGAAATATTGAAGTTTTTGACAGAGCCCAACTATTTCGTCGAGCATGCGCAGTAAGAAATAAGGGCTCTGGGTACGAGATTGTACTCCTCCTTGAGAACACTTGGCATTTCTGTTCCTACCTTCGTCCTCTAKGCGTCGTGAACCAGGCCCGGATGCCTTGTTGTCTTGGACGATAACTTCTCTACCTTTTTATCACTACGGCAATTCCCAACCTACACTCATGTCATTGAGCGTTCGTGTTAAAAAGGGGTAATACTATAACCGTGCTGAAAATGAAAGCAAATAATAGAAAATCGGATGTCCCACAACGATAGCACTATTTTACACAAAACATTTGGAGTCATTGGGCAATGTTTTACAGCATTTCCCTTTTTAACCGTAATCCTAACCCTAACTCTTGTT